GCTTCAAAATAAATCTTTAAGCGTGGCAGCAAAGATTTAGCAACTTGTCTGCTTATTGAATATTAATTCCTTCCAGATCCCAAAATATCTGTTAACATTTTCACAGGATGTCGTTTGAAACAGAAACTCCTCTCTTTACGATATTGGCATCAAAAATAACACACCCAAACTTTGGTCAAGTAAAAGAAGGGTTCAGCTGAGACAGCAGCCTGTAGAGCTTGGGGATTTGAGAAAAGAGAATAAAATGCTATCAAATTTGCAAAAAAAAACACAAGCAAACAAAAACTAAACGATTCTCAAAACTGATCTGGAAAGAAATTTAAGCCTTCTGGAATTCAAAAAAGAATATAGGTCTCAAATTATGCTATTAATGATTAACTATTAACTTTTGCTACTAAATAATGATGTCCATTTGAATTCAGGAATCTGGAATGTATTGTTGCAATTGTTGCAACCACAATTAAGCCCAAAATTTCTGTTGCTAAGCAAGAGAGTTATTAAGTGATTTTTGCCCCATGTTACAACTTTTCTTGCCACAGTTGTTAAATGAATCACTGCTGTTCTTAAGTTAGTAACACGGTTGTTAAGTGAATCTGGCTTCCTCATTGACTTGCTTGCCAGAAAGTCACAAAAGGTGATCACAGGACCCTGGGACCCCACAACCATCATAAATATGCATGTATTATTAATTGATTAATGTATGTCTCAAATATGCAGTGGCCAAGTGTCCAAATTTTGATCACATGACCATGGAAATGCTGCAATGGTCGTAAGTGTGAAAAACAATCATAGGTCACTTTTTTCAGTGCCACTGTGACTAAACAAATAGTTGTAATTTGAGGACTACTTGTATTTTTTTTTCAAAATCCAGTACTTCTAATTTCTCCCTCATTTTTTATATACTTTGCAAATCATAAGGATATAGACATCCCTGAGGATAGAGGGGTTGTCAAAAAAAGTCAAAATGGTAGCAGTTAAAGTTCCATTTCTCTTTCTGTACTACGGAGTCCGTGTTAAAAAAAAAAAAAAGAGAGAGAGAGAGAGAGAGAGAGAGAGAGCTTTGATCACACGGTCATAACCACCATATTGATTTTTCTGGCCATCTGTGGATTTCCCAGCTTGATGAGATTCCATCAAAAAGCTCCTAACACCAGCAGTCAAAAGTCACGATATGGCACTAGCAATAGCACTTAGACTTATATACCACTTCATCATGCTTTATAGCCCTCTCAAAATGGTTTACAGAATCAGCCTATTACTCCCAACAATCTGGGTCCTCATTTTACCAACCTCAGAAGGCTGGAAGGCTGAGTCAACCTTGAGCCGGTCAGAATCGAACTGCTGGCAGTGAGCAGAGTTAGCCCACAATACTGCATTCTAACCACTGCGCCACCACGGATTTTATGGTGATACTGCCTTTTCTTTCTTGGGAACAAGATACGATGAAAAAAGGGGTAGAATAAAAATGTTGTCATTTGATCCTCTGAAAATTTCAGAAATGAGGTAGGCTTCATCTGGGAAAAGGCTGGTGGTAATATAAGATTGATGGGGAATCAACATGCCAGATTCTGGTTCTGTATACAAGTCATAGTGCAGACAATTCCACCTTCTATTAGAAAGGGCAGCTGCAATATTTAATCCCTGGGGTGTTATTTTATTGTGTAATGAGGGACACCGTGGTTTAGGAGATCACGAATATTTTCAGAATGAATGTTAATGCGGTTGGATTCAGGAAATCTCAGATACGTGCAACAATGATAGGTATGAATGTAATAGTTCGTGTTGGTTCAATTCATGAAATTCTGCACTGGATCAGAATGGATGTCTGTAATGATTTGGTATAATTTTGCATGCTGAGCCTAAATCTCATAGTGTTAAGAAAGCCCGGGTGTATTCAGTAGGTGTTTCCACCTCCTCTTTATGTTGTCAGAAGTATACTCTTTGTCACAGCATGCAATAAGGCCACGCAAAGCATCTTAAAGAGAGGTTTAACAAAGTGTTTTGATGTTAGGAAACGGACCTTTCTCGAAAGCATTAAAGAGCTTGAGCCGCTAGAAAAGCTGTTCTCAGTTAGGACCCATCTTCTCTTCTGCTGAGAATGCTAGCAAAGTAAAGCATCATTGGATGTATATGCATCTGAAGGCATCTGGGGACAGTTCAAAGCAGCCGCATGAGTTTCTAAACAATGCAGCTGCTTTAATATTCTGAGGAGGGAAGCTTTGGGTGTGGCACTGCGCTGTGGCAAATGTCTTTTTCAACTCTTTTGTGGATTGTAACTTCTACGTAACTTTCAGAGAAGCGTCTATAAAGATTTTCAGTCTTCCAGGTCATGCTTGTCCCAAAGGTGCTTTTTCAAAAGGCAATTGGAACTTTCTTGGTTTTTCCGTGAAGTTTCTTCAGTTCCGACTGAATAACTGACTGAATCCTTCTATCCTCCACCATTCAGTCGGGACTGAAGAAGCTTTTTGGATGAGAAGCGAAATGCCTTCAAGGAAAAACAAAGAAAATCCAGTTGCCCTTTGAAGAAGAAGAAGAAAAAAAGCATCTTTGGGATATCAGAGAACTGCAAGAGCAATTCCACAAAACTAATTCTACCTGACATTCTTATCTTTGAAAAAAGCCTAAACTCAGCTGGATTTACTTCCAAGAAAATACAAGGAAGGAACACAAGACCCCCAAGAATGTACAAGTAGCTTTGCTGCAGCTGACCACAACTGTCTAACAGTGTGCATGATGTACATCATTTCATTGCTTGCTCAGTGTATCACTGAAAGAACAAAGGAGCCTAATACATTTATCAGTGGGTACCACAATTGTGTTGACGAAAATGCAGGATATGGAATAGTGGGTTTAAATTGAAGAGAGGCAGATTATGATTGAAATCATGTTAACAGTAAGAGACGCTTACGGAGGAACCAATTACAAAGTCAGGTGATACCTTCCCCTTGCTTGGAGGGGATCAAGCTCGGTAGTTATCGGTTCTGGATACTTCAATTTGGATTCCACCAGGGTTTGACTTCAGTAGCCTCAATGGCCTCTCCCCCTCTCTAAGATTCTACCTCTAAGAGGTTCAGGGTAGCTACAGCCTAAAACCTCCCAGGGTAATAATAAAGTTGGAAGGCAACCTGGAGATCATCTAGTCCAACCCCCTGCTCGGGCAGGAAACCTTATACCATTTCAGACAAATGGCTGTCCAGTCTCTTCTTAAAAACTTCCAGTGCTGGAAAATTCACTGCTTCTGGAGGCAGGTTGTTCCACTGATTAATTGTTCTGTCAGGAAAGTTCTAGGTTGCTTCTCTCTTTGGTTAGTTTCCATCCATTGCTTCTTGTCCTGCCTTCAGGTGCTTTGGAGAATAGCTTGACTCCCTCTTCTTTGTGGCAGCCCCTGAGATACCGGAACACTGCTATCATGTCACCCATCGTCCTTCTCTTCATTAAACAAGACATACCCAATTCCAGCAACCGTTCCTTATATGCTTTAGCCTCCAGTCTCCTAATCATCTTTGTTGCTCTTCTCTGTACTCTTTCTAGAGTCTCAACATCTTTTTTACATTGTGGTGACCAAAACTGGATGCAGTATTCCAAGTGTGGCCTTACCAAGGCATTGTAAAGTGGTATTTAACACTTCACGTGATCTTGAGGCTATCCCTCTGGTATATCAATTAGGTTAGAAAGTTATTGCTTTAGCCTGGAAAGATTCCGTCTATTAGGATGTCCATTTTTTATTAGCAAATTTTTAAAAAACTGAGGTGTCCTTGGTTGTTTTCTTGTATACATTTCATTAACCAAACTAATTGATGTCATCAGTGCAAGTAAAAAACTGGACTTGATTTCACTGTGTTGTCTTTCAGCTTGAAACTGACAAGAGTGCTCCTAACCACTCAGATATGACAAAACTGAACAATATTGAAGAAACCACCCCTGATCCTTCCATATTGCCTTCTAAGGACATCAAATAGAAACATTTGATTCCTCTTTTCCATTGCAGGATGCAATCTGGGTCAGTCACCAGGACCAGAGGTTTAGTCTTCCGAGCTTTTGGACTCGTGATGGAGCCCATTCTCAGGGAACTTCTCTTTGGCCAAGTGCTGTTCTGTGTGTGGCATTTATATGGTGCTTGTTGTATGTGGCCTTTTAGAAGTTGATTGGGGTGTGTGGATGGCTGACTATTAAGTTATTGGCTGTCATTTGCTTGTGCTGCCCAGCCCTTGCCTTCTAAGTCAGACATGTCAAACACAAGGCCCGGGGGCTGGATGCGGCCCGCAAAGTGGTTTCATGTGGCCCACGAAGCCATCTTGGAAAAAGTGAGGGAACAGCCCCCTCTGCCTTGGCAATGGCCCAGGCCAGCCGGGAGCCAATATACAATTTTGTGGTGGCCATGTATGATGAAACGCATTCAGTCTTAGCTCCATAAGCCCCTCCCCTGCATGGCCTGAGAGGAACAGTGAGGCTCTTTCAGTGGACCATGCCTTGGCGCTTGCCCTAGTCCCACCCCTTTCTGCCAGAGACCCTCAGATCTATCCCACTCCTGCCCTTGACGCGAACGATGTAGAGCTGGCCACACCCACCCAGTAGGCCACACCCACTCCATCCATGCCCACCCAGTAGACTGCACCCACCCTGGCCACACCCACCCAGCCCCCTGAGGGCAACCACAATGCTGATGCGGCCCTGAATGAAATTGAGTTTGACACCCCTGTTCTAAGTACTTGATAACCTGGTGATAAATCAGCACTTCTGTTGACTGACAAGGGGCCTGTTTCTCAGGCTTCACACCATGGCTGTTTTTGTGCCTGCTCATCCAACAATCTTAGTAGCGGCAAAATTGAACAGCGATGCAGGCTAAAAGCGTATTTCAGAATAAAATATTTCCTCTGCTCTGGAATTTCATCTTGTTTCCCTAAAGTTAGATTTCTTAAATAACAAATGAAGAGACCAAGTTGAGTCGATTATCTAAAAAAAATAAAAATGAAATAATTTTATGAGACATTCAGGCATACCTGGTTTAGATCCTTCATCAACAGATCCATTATAGATTTGGTTTATGAATTCTGGCCTGTTGTCATTCATGTCGATCACATAAATGTATAGATCAATTGGATTCTCCACTTTGTTTCCATTCATATCTACGGCATGTGCTCTGAGCTGTTAACAAAATAAGGAAAAAAACCTCTTTAATAAACAGAGAAGTCACTATTGTTTTATAGAATTCAATATCTGAAAAAGTATTTGGGAAAAAAACACAATTCAATCCTTTTAACACTCTAAATATTGCAGACTTTTGAATGTTTTCTAAAGGTTTTCTTTCTTTCATATACTGAAATTACCCAGCTAATTTTGGTAAGCACAAATGAGAGAAGATATGAGGCTTAATCACCGTAGCTAGTTTAATGAACTTTTTATCATTTTGTTGACAATTATGACCTCTTAGAGATAGGAATCCTATCCTTCTTTGCCAGGTATACATGACTTTCACTGGTTGTATGATAGTTAGAACAATTAACCAGTAGAACAACCTGCCTCCGGAAGCTGGGAATGCTCCAACACTGGAAATTTTAAAAAGAGACTGGACAGCCATTTGTCTGAAATGATATAGGACAGGGGTAGGCAACCCTGGCTCTTTTACGACTCGTGGACTTCAACTCCCAGAATTCCTGAGCCAGCAGGAATTCTGGGAGTTGAAGTCCACAACTCCTAAAAGAGCCAAGGTTGCCTATCCCTGGTATTGGGTTTCCTGCTTGAGCAGGGGGTTGGACTAGATGACCAGGTAGTCGTCCACTTATGACCACAACTGAGAGCAGAATTTTCATTGCTTAAGCAAGTTGGTTGTTAAACACTCAATTTTACGAGGTGGTTTTTTTGGGCCAACTGTTAAGCAAATCTCTGCAGTTGTTAAATGAAGCGTTCAAATGGTGATCTGAGGACACTGCAGCCATCGTAAATACACACCAGTTGACAAGTGCCTGAATTTTGATCTCGTGCCCATGAGAATGCTACAATGGTCAGAAGTGCAATGAGGTCACTTTTTTCCAGTTGTAACTTTAAACAGTCGCTAAATGAATGGTTGTAAGTGGAGGACTAACTTTATATATTTTTGTACAGTGTATTTTTATCTGTAGCTGAAAAAAAAAAGAAACTAAGAAGATGAAGAGGAACACAACAGAGGCATATGCTGGCATTGTGTGCAAATTCCACCCACACAATGGGGAAAAGTGACTGCACTTTGATGGATGTATTTCAAACTCTAGCTTATCTTTATTATTATACAATTATTAATATCATGATTGTGTTAATATCCTCATATAATAATACTTTTGTGGGCAGAATGCAGTTGCAGAGAGCAGAGGCTCAGTTTTGATTATTATTTTGAGGGAGAACATTTTTAATAACAACAACAACAATAATAATAGAGTTGGAAGGGACCTTGGAGGTCTTCTAGTCCAACCCCCTGCTCAGGCAGGAAACCCTATGCCATTTCAGACAAATGGCTGTCCAGTCTCTTCTTAAAAACTTCCTGTGTTGGAGCATTTACAACTTCTGGAGGCAGGTTGTTCCACTGATTAATTGTTCTAATTGTCAGAAAATTCTCCTTAGTTCTAGATTGCTTCTCTCTTTGGTTAGTTTCCATCCGTTGCTTCTTGTCCTGCCTTCAGGTGCTTTGGAGAATAGCTTGACTCCCTCTTCCTTGTGGCAGCCCGAGATATGGGAACACTGCTATCATGTCCCCCCTTGTCCTTCTCTTCGTTAAACTAGACATACCCAATTCCAACAACCATTCCTTGTATGTTTTAGCCTCCAGTCCCCTGATCATCTTTGTTGCTCTTCTCTGTACTCTTTCTAGCATCTCAACATCTTTTTTACATCGTGGTGACCAAAACTGGAAGGCAGGACAAGAAGCAACGGGTGGAAACTAATCAAGGAGAGAAGCAACCTAGAACTAAGGAGAAACTTCCTGACAGTGAGAACAATTAATCAGTGGAACAGCCTGCCTCCAGAAGCAGTAAATGCTCCAACACTGGAAGTTTTTAAGAAGAGATTGGACAGCCATTTGTCTGAAATGGTGTAGGGTTTCCTGTCTGAGCAGAGGGTTGGACTAGATGACCTCCAAGGTCCCTTTCAACTTTACTACTATTACTAAGATAACAAGGAAAACAGTATTCCAAGTGTGGCCTAATGTCACCCCCAATCCTTCTACTTGAACTGGTCAAAATGAAAGACAAGTTATTTCTTCCCTGACTGGGATCATTCAGATCAGTGAATTCACCACTCTCCTGGTTATTGGAAAAGTTGTAGAGAGAAACCTGTTTCCATCGAAGATTAACCCAAAAACTATAAAGTTAAAAATAGTCAGCCAAGAAGATAGAAAAGTTGCGGAAACTTTCTTTTTTTCCTCACCCAGTTATCAATACGAACATCAAGAAGATAATATCGCCTTAGAAAAGCCATCTGCTTCTCTCTAAGTTTCTGTGGTTGCTTATTCTTCTATTTGTATATTGTATCCGAAGCAACTTCCAGGTTGTCATTTCTGTTGTTATTCACACTAATACTAATTGATATCAAACACATTATTACAATGCAAAGCTCATCAATCTGTTGCAAATAAATAATGTGACGAACAAATGTAAAGTTGTTTTTAGTTTCTATCTGGTTTAAAACACTGACCAAGAATCTTGAGCCTCAGCTACAAAATTATTTATCTGTTTAATTATTTGCAGAGCTACTTATCTTTGCCCCAAACCTAAAGTCTCTGGGCAACATATTTTCCAACAGAAAGAAAATGATTCCATAAAAGAGTTACATTAGAACAATATCACAAACCAAACAACCAAATAACAATCAGCAAACACAAAGATGAAACTCTAAATAAAAGCAAGTATGAGTGAAGTGTCCCCTCTGGTAAGGATATAATAGCCTTCTTCGTGGAAGCATCTGGCTGACAGCTGCAGGAAGCAAGGTAATTATTAATTTATTCATATTCTACATTTATTAAATAGTAATTTATATAGTACTTTTATGTAGCACCTGCATTCAGTAAGGACAATGTCTTAGTGCCCAAGGCCATAGCTGACACATTTGGGGTATGGATGAGACGATGTAAATAGTTATGTGGTTTCATAAAAAATAGCACTGGAATTCTTATATTTGTACTGAATTTTGGAATATTGCACGTATCTTAGGGCTTCCACTATAACTTATTCTGATTCCCAGCCTGAAATGGCAGAAAATCAACCAGTACAGGTAGTCCTCAACTTACGATCATGATGGAGCCCAAAATTTATGTTGCAAAGTGAGACAGTTGTTAAATGGGTTTTGCCCCATCTTACGACCTTTCTCGCCAGTTGTTGTGTGAATCACTGCAGTTGTTAGTCACATGGTTATTAAGTGAATCTGGCTTCCCCATTTACCTGGCCTGTCAGAAGGTCATAAAAAGTGGAGACACTGCAACCATCATAAATATGAGTCAGTTACCAAGCGTCTGAATTTTGATCATCTGACCATAGGGATGTTGCAATGATTGTAAGTGTGAAAAACGATTATGTCACTTTTTTCAGTGCCTGTTGTAACCTCCAATGGTCACTAAACAAACTGTTGTAAGTTGAGGACTATTTGTAGTTATCTGCAATTGTAGTTGGAAGGGCCAGAAGAAGGCAACTGAGTGACCATGGGACCGTGACTGATCAACCCTGCTCCCCATAATGAGGACTGGCATCGTAATATCTTATTTTAGTTGTCTGTTTTTTGAAGCTTCCTGCATGTAGGATAGACACCTCAAGGGGGTCTACTCAGACATAGGCAGAGTTCGCTAAAGCTTGAGCATACCTACGCTGCGAAGGGATTGATGGGTAAGCCTAGGTTGCAAATGGCTGCAGATGGGCAGATGTGCACATCCTCCCAAATCCCAACTGTACATTGTGTATGTCCTGTCTGCTGATTGGTTGATGTGCTGTTCCTGTTCTGTGCTTTGGTGAGTGAGCGCCCCCAAACCAGGAAGTTACATTTGCAGAAATATAAAGGGAACATTTATGCAACCATCTCTGAATGACCGATGTATACATTCCTGAATGTGCACTGCCTGAGATATCTGCTCAACCCTTCACTCTGGATCTGAGAGTTTCATGACCTTAGCAACCTTGTCTGAAATGGCATAGGTCAGTGATGGTGAACCTTTTAGAGACCGAGTGGCCAAGCTGCAATCCAAAACCCACTTATGTATTGTCAGGTGCCGGGTGGGCATGGCCCATTGGGTGGGTGTGGCCAATTGGGTGGGCGTGGCTGCGGTGGTAACGGCAGACTGGGTGGGACTAAAAAAGTTCAATCAATCAATTCCAACTTCGTGAGATCTTTTTTTTCCCCACGAGAAGCTGAAAACCCAGGTGAAGGCCTAGGACTGGGGCGACGGCACGCGTGCCCACAGAGAGGGCTCTGCATGCCACCTGTGGCACGTGTGCCATAGGTTCGCCACCACAGGTATAGGTTCTCCTGCTTGAGCAGGGGGCTGGACTAGAAGACCTCCAAGGTCCCTTTCTATTCTATTCTATTCTATTCTATTCTATTCTATTCTATTCTATTCTATTCTATTCTATTCTATTCTATTCCATTCCATTGATATATGGACCTCAACTCCCAGAATTCTTAAACTCTGATCTAAAAATCAATCAAACCCATTTCTATGGTTGCATCATTGTATTGGCTGTTTTAAACTTCTGTCCCCTTTCATTTTGCTTGGTCACTAAAAGAGACTTCTTGATTCCATTGTGAAAAGCTGTCCGTGTTCTAAGGAAAGGCAAAAAAATTAGAGAAGGAAAACTATCTTTTTCAAAAGACATAGGGTTTTTTTTCCCTCTCCAGTGAAGCTTTAAAAATGGAAAGACTTATCAATTGTACTCTTAATAATGTTTTCAATCAATTTATCAGTGAGAGAGAGAGCAGTTAAGGTGGCTGGACTATAATTCTTTTCATCCTGGGCCCTTTTATAAAATGGTGTTGCTTCTGGTTCTTAAATACAGAGGCTGGGTTTTGTAAAGCTGCAAATTTTAGGTAATAGTTGGCAATTTCATTTCTGCACTGCTTAATAATCCTCCTGAATGCCACTAATTTTCCATGACTCATTATTTTTTAAAATGTCACCCTTTGTCACCTCTATT